TTATTTTTAAACCCCCCCCCCCCCCCCCCCAAATGCTGCAGCAGCAGCCAGCACCGCCTGTCCAACTTCAATCGTCGCTCGTTTCACCACTGTCCTTGTGCGCGTAGCCTTCGTCTCCGCCTGCGACTTGGTTGTTTTGCGCCCACCTGCGCCCACCTGCGCCCAAGGGCTTTCCCAACTGTCGCTCAGCACCGCACCGCATATTGCGCGTCTTGTCTCTCTCTGCCTCTTCCCGCCTCTGCTTGCGCCCCTCCCCGCGCCCTGTCTCTCGCCAACATGCTGCGCCCAGCGACCCCCTTATCCATACTATTCTTCGTCGCCTTCTGCCTCCTGCTGCTGTCCACGCTGTCCACGCCGATTATTAAGAGCATCCCTCTCGCTACTTATCGCGGCATTCACTTTGGCGTCCTGGGCTACTGCGACAATGGAGACTGCAAAGGGCCCATGGTCGGCTACAACACGGGTACATCTCTCTCTCTCTCTCTCTCTCCCACTGGAATGTTACGAACACCTTGTGCGGGACTCAAAAAAACAGATCAAAGCTGACAGGTACACACGACAGAATCGCTATTCCAAGATGCACCGGCTACAGACTTCTCACTGCCCTCCGCCCAACGGCATGCGCTCTCGTCCATTCTCATCGTCCACCCGGTCGCTGCCCTCATGACACTCATCTGCTTCGGCCTCGCTATCGCCGCCCACTTCCACTCACCAGCTCACTCGCCACGCTACCTGCTCGCACTCTTGATCTTTACATTCCCTACCCTACTTGTCACTCTGCTCGCTTTTCTAGTGGATATCCTACTGTTTGTGCCACATGTGGCCTGGGGTGGCTGGATCGTGTTGGCAGCCACCATCATCATCGTCGCAAGCGGCATAGTGACCTGCGCAATGAGGCGCACGCTGGTCAGCCGCAAGGCACGCAAGAGGCGCATTGCCGAGAACGACGAGATGAACGGTCAGAGCTACTATGCGAATCGCGCCAACGCTGCAGCAGTCGCCTCCGACTTCCCCAAGGCTGAGTCGCCCCCGCCGCTGTCTGGTGATACCATTATGGCTGGGAGCAAGGGCAACGACGCCGCCTATTTCGAGTCCCAGAAGCCGTCTCCGCCTGAGGACATGACCCCATTGAACCAGCGCAATCCATCTCTCAAGACGGTGAGCAGCAATGGAGAGGCCCGATCGGATATCACAGCGCCACCCATGCGTAGCCCTTCTGGACGTCGACAACCAGTAGATCAATACGGAAACGCTATCCCACCCATGCCCAATGATCCCTACATGATCAATGCTGCTCCGCGTGGCCCGCCCAGCAGAGGAGGCCCACAGAGAGGCCGTGGAGGGCCACCACGAGGGGGGCTGCCGCGAGGAGGCCCCTATGGAGGTGGAAGGGGAGGCGGATATGGTCCAAGAGGAGGCATGCGAGGACCGCCACCACCTGGCTGGAACGGCGGTGGAAGGGGTGGTCGAGGTGGTCCAATGCAAGGTCCGCCGCCTAATGGGCGCGGCGCTCCTCCTCCAGGGTACAACAACTACAACAACAACAACCTCTACGGTCAAGGCATGCCTCCAACCCGCGAGCAATCGCCGTACAGACGAGGGCCTCCACCACCCGGACCCATGCCTATTGGGCAAGCTATTGAAATGGACAACCGGACGGGCACACCTCCGACAAACTACGGATTGAGTGAGAGTGATGGCGACGTTGCAGGCATGTTGGCACTCCAGCAAGGCGGCTTTCCTGCCGGAGCACCGCAAAGACGATTGTCTGACACAGTAATGAGTCCGACTAGCGCGTACTCCGTTGAGTAAGTTTTGATACTTCACCTTGTCAAGTCATCGATTAATTGTCTACAGAGAGCCACAGTCACAGCGGCAACAACAGCAGCACATGCCTAACCAGCAACAATACATGCCCGTGCGAGCGGGGTGGAACGGCCAGAAGAATTCTTCCGACCAAACTGTCGACACCGTGAACAGCAGCAATCGGGGGCTTTCGCCGATTCAAGAACCCCCTGTCGAGCTCCCAGCACAAATGCCGCACGCCGGTGCGTCGCCCTCTCAGCGTCTTGAGCGCAGTTCAGACTATTACGAGGACGTGGACCCAAGATTTGCCGAACCTGTGCAACACCAGCCACCTGCCATGCCTCCATCACTCATGCCAGGCGGTTTCTCCGCATCGAACCCTAATCTCCTGACTGCTCCAAACCACATCGACTCCAACCTTCCCCGCAATTCATCCTATGACGACCTTCCAGAAGGTTCGCGCTCGCCAGCAGCCTCCGAGGCTTCGCATTTCACTTCAGTATCCCAACGTCCTGTGAACCCCAATTGGAGACCGGAAATGGGCGCCCCAGCTGGTCAATTCGCTCCTTACAACGGTAACGGTCGAAGAGCAATGAGGCCAGAGGAGGTGATACTGCAGGCCAACGCAGCGAACCCCGACTTTGTGATTCCGGGTCGGGGCAACGGCCGAGGACGCGGTCGAGGTGGGAGGAGAGTTGGCATTGCGCCGCCTGTACCTGCGACCATAATGGGACCTGGGCCCGGCCTGACGAATCAGTCAAGATACCCTGGTGCTAGTGCTATGTAGGGCTAGCCGTCCCAGAAGTCACATTCGACAAGATTGCCCGAGATTTGGGGTGATACATAGTTGGCTGGTCGAAAGGGTCCGTGAAGCGAAGTAGTTCCGGGGGATCATCGATTTCACCGGCCTAAACTTCTATCCTCACCACACCAGGAGCCGAAGGGCAGACCATGGTCACAGCATCTTCCCGATCCTTTTCTTCACACTGTCCAAAATTTCCATGGCAATTGTACCTCGCAAACCCGGGCCCCTTTTCTCCATTCAAGCCGGTCAGCCACTTGTTGTTCCGAGTACATTGTATACTTAATTTCTAGTTGAAGCGGACCCCGCTTGGGAACATTTCCACCTTTTTACTGTTGTAACAATCTTTCTTTTTTTTTCCGCCGAGCCGGACCTAGAAACAGCCCCTTTCTGCATATCTCATCGTTCCGGGCAGACGCCTCACTTCTTTACGAACACATACCCGGGGGTTTTTTTAGTTTGTTTTGGTTTCAGGGCCTCTGGCACTTAGATAACGAATGCCCAAAGAGGAGACGCGAAATTTCGTTTTGAGCGCGCGAATCCATGGGCGGGGGGTGGATGGATTGAGCTCTGTATATACGGCGAGATGGTCTAGGCAAAGTGTAAGATGTGAGGTGTGAATGAGGAGGGGGAGAGGTAGGGAGGAATACATAAGGAAAAGCAAAGTGCAAGTCCAGACTGTTTCCCGCAAGGTGACGTCGCTGTTTGTGATGCATGGATTGCATTGTGATTGGCTTGTGCATCCTGTTGTTCTTACTGTGGCTGGTCACACAATATCTGTCTGTCATGCAAGATGTGTTTGTAAGCGGCGGTTACGCCATGTCAGAAATGATAGTGGTAGGAGGATATTATGACATTTATTGTAGAGTAGGCATGCATGATGACGACGGACAAAAGGTAAAGAGATGGTCAAGATTTGGTGACACACTCAGGTCACCGCCCACGTGTGAGGTCAGGATATCTCTATATTTATCCTGAACATTGCGTGCTTGTTCAACAGAAGCATGCCAGCAAGGCTGCAATGAATCTTCTGTCCAGCTACACTGAGCATCTCCAAGCCAATAGCCACAGTGGAACGAGGCGTGCAATGTGATGTTGAGGAACCTGGCCGTGAGGGGTTCGATGTGAATAGTTTGTTACTATGAAGACAGATTGTACCAGAGACACATTTATGGTGTCCAGTACCGTAATTCGCTTTCCGTCTTTTGGATATGCACTGTTCCAATGTTGAGGACATGGCACTTCTGTACTGTCACACAGCCTCGCCTACCTCTCCGTGCACTTCGTCCGTCTCAGCCTTGGAATTGGTACTGCTTCATTCATTCAGATTCATCCATTCTCATTTTTCATCATCATCGGTGGTGATAATGAGTGACGGCAGGCTTGCCAAGTGCTTACCAAACTCCGAGGCTGACTCCCTAACTCCGCCCTTTACCGTATCTTTAGCCAGGCTTTGGCTCCATCTGAACCAATCATACGGTACCGGTAATGGACAACTATGATGCAATCCACACCACGCCTTTGTTGTTGCTGCATGCAACCCTACGGCTGCAATGACAATCTCTCATCACTACAGTGTGCTTTTTGGAACACTGGCTGACAAGGCGTAGAGCATGCCATCTTGGCTGTCCATGCGATTCGCTCTTTTTCCCATGGGCTTTCAGTGGCTCACTGATCGTCATCACTGCTGACGACTGTCAGAGGTTACGTTTTCCACCTCAGGCAGCAGTGTCTGACAAAGCCTAGGAAGTTAGGCGGCTTGTTCGGACAAACATGGAGATAAGCCTTATGGTAGAGGATGGCATATATGGCGAGCAAGATGTCTTTGCAGTCCGAATTTTCAACGAACTGGTCACACATACACTCGACTCTCATCAAAGGTACCACAAAACAGCCTGGAGAACGACGTTTCCCATTACGTGCCGTTCTAATCGCCAATCCACGTGGTCTAACGTGGTGCAACGAGGCTGCTAACTGGGGCTGTATTCATCGGATCCCCAACTCGTGTGCCCTCCATCTTCACCTGGTAACATTGCTCGATCGCAATGACCTACCTAGTCAAGCACTCCTCAGTAGGAACGGCCTTCCACTACATCAAACATCGCAAATTCGACTTCAGCCGGCAACCCGGCAAAGCCATCTCCGCATCCTCCTCGACCGATGATCTGCCCTTTCCCGAAACTAGGAGCACCACCGACGAAGATGCCACCGCCACCGGCACAGAGCTGAAGCAGCACCAGACCAGCCTTGCGGACTGGAGTGGACCCGACGATCCCAGCAATCCCAAGAACTGGCCCATGACGCATAAAGTTGTAATGACGGTGCTGCTGTGCACATATACGTTTGCAGTCTATGTCGGCAGTTCCATCTATTCGAGTTCGCAAGAGGCAGTGGTGGAATTGTTTGGCGTAACGCATGTCGAAGGGAGTTTAGGCATGGCATTGTATGTCTTGGGCTATGGAATCGGATGTCTTCTCTTCAGCCCCCTGTCTGAGGTCCCAGCCATCGGACGGAATCCACCCTACGCCGTATCAGGTTTCCTCTTTGTCATTCTCTGTATTCCAACGGCACTGGTCAATAATTTCGCCGGCCTCATGGTATTGAGGTTTCTCCTCGGTTTCATGGCCTCGCCGTGTCTGGCGACCGCGGGCGCCTCCCTCGGCGATATCTGGACAATGGCCGAGTTCCCCTTTGCTGTTGCGTTGTGGGCTGCTGTCGCGACTCTGGGTCCTGCTCTCGGTCCTACGCTCTCCTCGTTCGCCGTCAAAGACCTCGGATGGCGCTTTTCCAGCTGGGAACTGCTCATCATATCAGGGCCAATCTATCTGCTCATGCTCTTCTTCGTGCCGGAGAGCTCAAGCCCGACGATTTTGTACTACAAGGCGAAGCGTATGCGAGAGGAGACGGGTAACATGAGCCTCATGTCTGATGCGGAGCGCAAGCAGGCAAGTCTGCAAGTCGGTCAACTGTTGTTCGATGCTCTTGTCAAACCCTGGGAGATCAACGCCTTGGATCCCGCCATCCTGTTTACGACGGTGTACATGGGCCTCTGTTACGGGATTTACTACTCCTTCTTCGAGGTAAGTCATAATTGGACTTTGGTTTCATCGCTGAAGAAAACAAAAAAATTACTGAAAACATCATAGTCCCTTCCCCTCGTCTACCCCGTCTACTACAACTTCACTGCCGAGTCCACGAGCCTGATCTTCCTTGCGATTCTGCCAGCTTGCGTCATAGCCTTTAGCGCATACGTCCTCTACCTCAAATACCGTGTTTTCCCCCGCCTTACAAACGGCACCTTTGGAGAAGTCGAAAACCATTTACTGCCGGGCATGGCGGCTAGTCCTCTCATCGTAATCGGCCTCTTCATCTTCGCTTGGACAGGTGAGCACTCTTCTTCCCCAACACTCATCACAAGTACTCTCGTCACTAACGCCCTACTCTTCCCTGCAGCTCGACCAAGTGTCCACTGGATGGCACCCACCTTTGGTCTCGGCCTGACTATATTCGGCATCTACTTCATCGCGCAGTCTGTACTGCTCTACATCCCCAACATCTACCCTCGCTACGCTGCCAGCATCTTCTCAGCCAACAGTCTGAGTCGAAGTGCGTTCGCATTTGCCGCCATTTTGTTTGCGAGACCCATGTTTCAGAGCAAGATGGGGATTGATGGGGGCGTCAGTCTGTTGGCCGGGTGCATGGTGTTGTGTACGCTTGGTATCTTTGGGCTGTTTAGGTTTGGAAAGGGGTTGAGGGAACGGAGTCGGTTTGCGGTTGGTTGAGGATGTGGTGAGGGGGAAGGTGGTACGATTGGAATACGATGGAGAGAGAATGAGAGAGAGGTCGGCATGAAGGAGAAATGAATTTGCAGGCGCATAATAGGACGGAAGATTGTTTCTCTACTTATTTGTCATACGGTATACCCCTAGATCATACAGACGGTTCTTATGACCCAATCCGTACAACCCTCTGCATCACCTCGTCAGCATACAGTCATTTGCCATGTACCTACACAGTATGTCCCTCATGCACCACACGCCTCACACCTGCCCATTGGCATCCAGCCACCCCTCTCCCAAGAAACTCCAACAATAGTCGCAGAATCCTCCACACTAGCTCGCACATGTGCCAGCCACATGGTGCACTGCAGTCCCCCCTCCCCCCTTGCCACGCATTGGTCACACAACATGATCGGACGTGCGCGTAGTTGTACAAGAGTGATACCGCACACGCTTCAGCCGCGAGTCTTATTCTGCCCAAGCCTTTGCGCGGCATGTCTTAGCACACGAGACAGGTCTTGAAGTTTGGGTATATAAAGTGTTTTTTTTTTCTTTCGGATTTTGCGACACAAGGGATCCCTATCTGCCTTTCAGCTGGTGAGTGTGCTTGGTCTTGGTTGCATGGATTTGCCCAGTCGATTTGTAAGGGGATACTTATTCGGGGTGGGGTGGTGCGAATGCGGATGCGGATGCGGGAGATGTGTTTGTGTATGAGACAGACGGACAGGGAGGGATGGTGTAGATGGTGTGGACAATATCTCCATCCTGGGCATCATGTGAAAGGTAGCTATACGAGCGAAAGTATGTCAATCCATGTGTGACTGTGATGAAAGAGCATATCAATAAACCGCAACAAATATCTGACCATGGTCTGAGCAGGTACCGTACCCTGTTTACTGATCGGTTTACCTACCGTAGCGCATGTGACGAGTAGGTGCACAGTGCCTACTTACACAGTAGTTACGGTACCTAACACAGTAGGTAGACTGTCGCAAGCCCAGAGTAACATGGCAAACAGAAAAAATCGCGCTCTCTCAAGTCCACATCGATCCGTCGTTCGCCTGTGCATGCATCAAGTTGATCAAGTCCCCAACGCCAGCGAAAGTTTAAAAGTAATAATAGAATCAGAATCCCACGCTAGCGTACACACCACATGTTCAAAAGGCCCGAATGCCGCTGTGTCCACCTTGAGACAAACTGGGAAATCTAGCCTTCAGAGTACATGGTGACGTTGCTGAAAGTAACTTACAGTAGGTTGTACGCGGTTGGCAAGGCGTGTGGGATCACTGAGAGATTCACTCTTCCTTCCCTCCTCCCCACCCCTGTTGGGTTGACTTGCCAAAAAAAAAAAAAGTCACCAAGCTAGGGGTACTAGGTAGATAGCGTAGCTACCGTGATGCATTACAAGACCCTCCTTCTCCATCTCTCTTCATATTTTGCGCAAATTAAATTTATTCTCAAGTACCTTACCGGCTGCAAGTTGCAAGGGCTGGGTTTGTGAGGAGATGCTGCCCAGAGTTAGACGAAAGGTACCAATGAGCAGGTACCGCGACTACTGTTGTGCAAATATTTCGGCGCCGCGAGGGTAAAAACGGAGTGGGCGTATGCGGTTTGGAGGAAGAAGGGCCTTTGGGGAAGTCGGTGCGGATGGCTTCTGGTTGGTGTCTGTGTTTGGGTGGTGGTGGTGGTGATGGCCCGGCGTTTGTGGAAAGACGCTGTGCAAGTAGTGAAGTCCTCGCCCGCGCATTCACCATCGCAATCACACTCTACGTTATACATAAACCACCATTTATTATCTCAGCGGTCAAATCTCACCGTAACAATCAATCCAGCTGACATGCCCACACCTCCCCACCAATCACACCCCAGCATGCACAGCATACCAAGAGAAAATAAAAGGGGGCTGGGCGGGACGACGGCTGGCCCTAGAACAGGACTAACCTGCTCTGATTAAATTACCCTTTTTAGTCGCACGACGGTGAAGTTCTGGGGGGGGGGCGCGGCGGACATCTTCTTCTTTCAGTCTCGCAACAGTTGGGCTCTCGGCGCTGTCCGTGCGTGGCCTGGCTTTCCCTTTTGCGATGCGAAACGGCCCCCTTGGAGGGCCTGGGCCCCCTGAGGGTTTTGTTTGGTAGGGATGGGAACTGTGTGGTCTGGGTCTTGGGTGTAAGGGGGTGTTGG